CGGCCGGTACCCCGTCTCCTGCCCGCAGTGGGGGACAGGGACTGCGTGGGGGGCTGCCCGGCCGCTACGCTAGCGGTAGCTGTCCCGTGACACCTTCCCCTCCACGGTGTGGGAAGTACTCTGAGCGCCCACAACCCCGTCTCCCCTCCCTCCGTCCCCAGGAGGGCGACACAAAGCCGGGGAGCGGGTTGCTCCCTCCTGAGCCCCCCTGCAATCCCCTTCGCGCCAGCGCGCGGCGCGGAGGGCGGGGACTGGCCCTGAGTCCGACCTGCGCGTGTCTGCCACCGCAAGGTGACTCTGTCTACCGAGTCTGGGAAACAAAGTCGAGCCTGACTTGCCCTGGGCATCCCTGAGTACGTGTCCCCCATTTCCCAGCTCCCCGGCTCTACGGAACTCCTCCCCGTGGGACGAGAGTAGCTGGACGAGCCAGGGGATTGGGACCAAGCTCCGCAGCCAGTGGGCCCGCCCCTCAGGGGGCAGAGGCCCCTCCCGGGCATTGCCCTCGGTGCTTCGCCTCCGGAAAGACCCAGGGATGTGCGTGCAGAAGAACCAGCCCGGCTGCTCCAGGCACAGGTCCCCTCGTTGCTTGATTCCTCCAGGCTGGAGCCAGAAGTGAGCTACCTGGAGGGGAAGGGGCAGGGCGAAAGCCCAATACTCACAGCCTCTCGGTGTTGCGAGGGATATTCCTGGGCACGCTGCGCAGTGCCAGCCCGTGACAGTCCACGGTGCTGCCGGAGCAGGAGCACTGCGCCGGGCACGCCTGCGTCGCCACCTTGTTGAGGACCGCCAACACTAACACCAGCGACAGGGACAGCGTCTGCCAGCCCACGCCGCGCATCTTCCCCCACCGCCTCCTCGCTCGCGGGCGTCGGGGTTTCTCTTTAGCTCGCCGCTCCTCGGGAACCGCGTAGTGCCTGAGGCCCAGTGCCTGGCGCGAGGTTAGCAGCCCAGAGTGCCGCGGGGAAATGGGCACAAAATAATAAGGAATAGTAGTAATATTCAAAGGAGTGGAGCCAATAGAGGCGCAAGGCTTTCCCCCTCCCTCTATCCTCTTCCAGCAGGGCAGGAGCTCCGTGGGCAACTTTAAAACCTGGAGACCAAACGGCCTGGCCAAGGCTCCAAGGAGATCCAGACAGCAGCGGGGAAGAGATCACTCGTCTTCCGTCTCACAAGGATCAACTTGGCTTGTCACTAAAAAAGCTGGGGCTCCAACCACCGGGAAGATGTAGTTGGGCGCGGGGGCGGGGTGGTGGTGGTAACGGATCCCACGCACTGCTCTGCGAATCCGATTTCAGTGCAGAGAGGACCAGGCAGAAGAGGGAGCTCAGTGGCAGTGATGGTCCTG